GACACCCAGAAAGTTCCCTATAGCAACTCCTATCATCCCTCCATTGACCTATTTCCAACTGGAAATGAATGGTCAATTAGTTACCAAGATCATGTTATTTCATCCAACCATCCCCTTATCATAGAATCAGAACTGGAAGAGACCTCAGAAGGTCGTCAAGTCCAGCCCTCCGCTCTAGGCAGGACCAATCCCATCTAAATCAACCCGGCCAGGGCTTTGTCAAGCCGAGACTTAAACACCTCTAGGGATGGAGACTCCACTACTTCCCTAGGTAACCCATTCCAATGCTTCACTACCCTCCTAGTAAAATAGTTTTTCCTAATATCCAATCTGGACCTCTCCCACCACAACTTGAGACCATTGCTCCTTGTTCTGCCATCTGTCACTACTGAGAACAGCCTCTCTCCATCCTCTTTGGAACCTCCCTTCAGGAAGTTGAAGGCTGCTATCAAGTCCCCCCTCACTCTTCGCTTCTGCAGACTAAACAGACCCAAGTCCCTCAGCCTCTCCTCGTAGGTCATATGCTCCAGACCCCTAATCATTTTGGTTGCCCTCCGCTGGACCCTCTCCAATGCGTCCGCATCCTTTTTGTAGTGGGGGGCCCAGAACTGGACACAGTACTCCAGATGTGGCCTCACCAAAGCCGAATAAAGGGGAATAATGACATCTCTGGATCTGCTGGCAATGCTCCTCTTAATGCATCCTAATATGCCATTAGCCTTCTTGGCTACAAGGGCACACTGTTGACTCATATCTAGCTTCTCATCCACTGTAACCCCCAGGTCCTTTTCTGCAGAACTACTACTTAACTGGTTGGTCCCCAGCCTGTAACTATGCTTGGGATTCTTCCGTCCCAAGTGCAGGACTCTACACTTGTCTTTGTTGAATCTCATGAGATTTCTAGTGGCCCAATCCTCCAATTTGTCTAAGTCACTCTGGACCCTATCTCTGCCCTTAAGCGTATCTACCTCTCCCCCTAGCTTAGTGTCATCTGCAAACTTGCTGAGGGTGCAATCTATCCCCTCATCCAGGTCATTAATAAAGATATTGAACAAAACCGGTCCTAGAACCGAACCTTGGGGCACTCCACTAGAAACCGACCTCCATCCTGACATCGAACCGTTGATCACTACCCGCTGGGCCCGGCCTTCTAGCCATCTTTCTATCCATCTTACCGTCCATTTATCCAATCCGCATTCCCTTAACTTGCTGGCAAGAATATTGTGGGAGACCGTATCAAAAGCCTTGCTAAAGTCAAGGTATATAACATCCACTGACTTTCCCATGTCCACTGAGCCAGTTACCTCATCATAGAAGCTAATCAGATTGGTCAAGCACGACTTGCCCTTTGTGAATCCATGCTGACTATTCCTGATCACTTTCCTCTCATTCAAGTGTCTCAAAATGGATTCCTTTAGGATCCCTTCCATGATTTTTCCAGGAACCGAGGTAAGACTGACCGGCCTATAGTTCCCTGGATCGTCCTTCTTCCCTTTTTTGAAGATGGGCACTACATTTGCCTTTTTCCAATCATCCGGGATTTCGCCCGATCTCCACGACTTTTCAAAGATAATGGCCAAAGGCTCCTCAATGACATTTGCCAACTCCTTCAGTACCCTTGGGTGCATTAAGTCTGGACCCATGGATTTGTGTACGTTTAGTTTTTCTAAATAGTTCCTAACCTGTTCTTTACCCACCAAGGGCTGTCCATCTTCTTCCCATCTTGCGTCGCTTAGCACAGAAGTCCAGGAGCCGACCTTGTCCGTGAATACAGAGGCAAAGAAAGCATTGAGTACTTCAGCTTTCCCCACATCCTCTGTCACTAGGTTACCTCCTTCATCCATTAGGGACTGCACACCCTCTCTGATCACCTTCTTCTTGTTGACATGCCTGTAGAAACCTTTCTTGTTATCCTTCACATCCTTAGCCAGTCGCAACTCCATTTGCGCTTTCGCCTTCCTGATAACCCCCCGGCATTCTCGAACTATACATTTAAGCTCCTCCCTAGTCATTTGTCCAAGTTTCCACTTTCTGTAAGCTTCCTTTTTGTGCTTAAGTACACCAAGGATTTCCCCTGTAAGCCAATCCGGTCTCCTACCAGGTTTGCCTCTCTTGCTACGTGTCGGGATGGTTTCTTTCTGTGCCTTCAATAAGGCTTCTTTAAAATACTGCCAGCTGTCCTGGACTCCTTTCCCCTTCATGTTAACATCCCAGGGGATTCTGCCCATCAGATCTCTGAGGGAGTCAAAATCTGCTTTTTTGAAGTCCAAGGTGTGTATTTTACTACTCTCTTTTCTTCCTTTGGTCAGGATCCTGAAATCTACCATCTCATGATCACTGCTTCCCAGGTTGTCACCCACCTCCACTTCCCCTATTAGTTCCTCCCTGTTTGTGAGCAGAAGGTCAAGCTGCGCACGGCCCCTGGTCGGATCCTTCAGCACCTGTGTCAAGAAGTTATCCCCAACATTCTCCAAAAACTTCCTGGATTGCCTGTGTACTGCCGTATAGGTTTCCCAGCAGATGTCAGGAAAACCCCTTTAAAGGCTCTGGGGTGTGGGGGAGGGAGAGGCGCGTTCTTGCTTGAGGCCAGAGTGGCCACCAAGGCACCCTGGGAAGGCTGCAGGCCCCCTATTTTGAAATAAGGGTCTACACAGCACTTATTTCGAAAGTTATTTCAAATTTGGCGTTATTCCTTGTAGAATGAGGCTTACCAAATTCAAAATAAGCGCTCCACTATTTCGAAATAGCGATTTGGCTGTATAGACGCTAGGAAAGTTATTTTGAAATAAGGGCTGTTATTTCTAAATAACTTAGCTGTGTAGACATACCCTTAGAGGGACCCTAATTAGGCTACGTCTACACAATGGCGCTATTTCAGGATACCGGACGTATCCCAAAATAGCTATTCTGCATCTTTAGACTGCGCCCGTTGCTTCAAAATAGCTTTTGGAATCACGGGTCTGCTATTCTGGCCTCCCTGTAGCCGTCGTTCCACAGAGGCTATGGGACATTTTGGAATAGCTCTTTATTTCGAAATTTGCTCACAGACCATGCTGTGGTCCAGAAGCAGCCAGCAACAGACTCCCAGCCAATGGGAGTGCAGACCTGGTGCTCAGGGCAGGGACAGTGCGTGGAGCCCTGTGTGCTCTCCCCTCCTCCCTACCTAGGAGTTGAGCCTGTTGCCGGCCTCTTCTGGAGCGCAGCACAGTCTGTGGTGCTAAGACAGGCCTTAGCACCCTCACTGGTCACCCGATTCCCCCTGCAGCAATGAGACCCCATGTTTGACATTCCACGACCCAGTACTGGGTCGTGACGTGTAGTTTGAAAACCGCTGTCCTAGGGGACATAACCAACCATCTCTGAACTCTGGTTAATTTTCACATAAGGTTCAGATAAGCATGCCTGGTAGCAGCCTTGCATGTTTGCCCTGTACATTTTCCTCCTTCCCCCACTGCTCATCAGGTAGTTGGTCAGATCCATTCACCTTCTCCTTGCTGGTGCCCACAATTTCCCTTTCCCTTCCAGCTGGTTCACCAAAGCCATTATTATTCTGGTAGAGGAGGACTGAGTTTTCAGAGCTCAGTTGAGAACTTATCACCGCTGCTTAAATGGCCCGATGAGTTGCCAGAGGGAAGACCCCTTTCTTCTTCAAAGCTGCCTCTGCAGCTCACTTGCCCCCAACTAAAACGGAGTTAGAGATAGAGCAGAGACTTAGCATGCCACTAATTTTTCCACCTAGTGCCCTTCGTCCATACTGCTCCCTTTCTCAGAAAAACAGCGCGCTGCACTGATTACTATGTCCTGTAGCTTGGCAGGTGAGTTATATGGCCCACCTAATCATTCCATCACTTAATTTGTTGGCCCAGTGGGATCTGTCGCTGATCTCCATTCTTGTAAAGTGTAACAGACGCACAACTCGCTGATGAAGGTGCATAGTTTTTATGCTATTTGGGGCTAATGATCCTGTGAAGTGTGGTGCACCCTCAATTCCTGTGGATCCCAGTGGCAAATTGATATGCTAATCGCTTCAGTGGGGGCCAGGTCAAGACACAAGTGTCTGATTCCTGAAGTCAGTGGCAAAGCTTCCATTAAGTTTGATCATGCAAGATCATCTCCATCATGAATATGCAAAACCTGAGAGCTTCCTTTGCTTGAAGTGCTCCCATGAATCTCTCACGTGGTACCACACGCTTTGTACATTAAGCTGCATGCCTTGCTAATTGAATTGCACAACTCAAGATTGGGAAAACTTTTGTGATGGAAATGGCTCCGTTTCATTAGTATTGATCTTTGGAGTACAGACTGACCTTAAAAGTGGGGCCATTTCTTTCTTTGGGCAATTAATCATCTACAAGATCCAAGAATCCCTCCAGCCCTTCCTCTGACTTCATGTAGCTTGTAGAACACGAGATGCAATACTTGGATCCCCTCTGCCCTGTAGAGACCTTGCAGCCTCTGGTATATTTGGCATTGTCCTGTCTCGGTACTTACAGAGCATCCTTTTGCTTCACAAATATCCAGTGGGTTTACCCTGGCAACACCCTTCTGACATAAGGAAATTTTATCCCCGTTTTATAGAAGGGAATTGGGGAGACACAGAAATTTGGTGACTTGGCTGAGAAGTCACAGACATAGCACCGAGAATTTCAGCGTTAATATTGGTGGGTCAGTCAGGGAGGTCAGTCAAATCAACAGTTAAGAACGTCATAGGGTCGTCATAGGAAACGTTAAAGGAAACAGACGTTGTATCGACTTGTATTCAACAATGAGCAGACACGATGCATGCAGCAAAGTGGCCTGTCTAAGGCAGAGAGTGTGAATTCTTATTTGTTTATTTTAAATGTATGTGTATTCAAAACCTCTGATGCTTATTGCATTTGCTGTAACAGGAATGGTGGTTTTTCACCAGAATTGATATTGTGAAACTATCCAATAAATACTAATTGCTTTGTTAGTTTATGTATGTTTTTCTCTTTTTTTTGCCTCCACCACCCATTCAGGTTTTCCCAGGACATTAGTCCAAGCTGAAGCACTTGACAGAATCTGTGAACTGGATCTAGTGATCAGTTTAAACATCCCATTTGAGACACTAAAAGACCGTCTGAGTGCTCGCTGGATTCACCCCTCTAGTGGAAGAGTCTATAATATGGAGTTCAACCCACCTCATGTACATGTAAGAGAATTTACCATATTAAAGGCTAATTTAGCTGGAGAAAATTTAAATCTACTTCTAAATCAGTGAAGATGTCCCACTCAAGAACAGCTGAGTAGTCTTTTTAAAAATATTAGGAAGAGAAATCCTATTATATGTATTCATATATAAGTATGAATGCATGGGAGTTGAATTCTTCTTGCTAAATAGGTTCTAGTTAAGTTTTTCATGCTCAAGCTAAGAAGACAGCTGAAAGATTGTGTGCAAGGCTGGAAACAGTGAGACAAGATTTATTTAGGAAAATGGATTTATGTTAAGCACTGTGCAAAAAAAACTTACTGTAATTACTGTGCTCCCGAATACCATAGTGTATTATTGTGTAGTGGTGGCACAAATGATTATTCTGTGATCTATGGCAAAGTGCACACAAATGCAATTGTGACCACAGCAGAATACAAGGTGTTTTACAAGGACTGGTCCTAGTGTCGTGGATCATTAATTATCTCTGTCTCCGATTTTTATCTAATACATATATATAGTGCAGTAAGTAAAGTGTCTATCAGTGATATCATCTTACATGAATGCAAGTTCTTTAGAATTGGCCAACTTCTACCCCCAATTACACTCATTAAAACCCCATGGCTCCTTGTGTGGCACGGGTTGTATCTGGCCACAGTGTTCACGATGGTTTGTTTGTCTTGTACACAGGGGGTTGATGACATCACAGGTGAACCATTAATCCAACAGGAAGATGATAAACCTGATGCTGTTGCTGCAAGGCTAAGAAAATACAAAGATGCTGCAAAACCAGTAATAGAATTATATAAGTGAGTTTGGACACACACAAGTAATACAGACCATGCCTGTAAAAATAAGTGCTAAATTTTCATCTCCACAAACCTGTTCTTGGCTCACTCAGGGATATCTTTGGGTGGCCTCTCACAAGTAAAGTGGCTTATGTATTAAAATTTTTGCCTGGCCATAATCAGCAACCATACTTTTCAGGGATGGATTTATTCCCTACTCGAGTGGCATGTGGGAGGAATAAGGGGGCTGCAGTAGACCACAGAAAGCTCCCAGGCCAGGAGCAGTGTAGGGATAGTAGAAACGGAGAGGCCAAAAGCAGAAACAATGTCCCTGCTTTGCTTAGTGCTATGGGTATTCTGGGCTGCAAAGCAGCCCTGGTGAAGCTGCTGTAAATTAGAATACACCCCATGGAGGCTATACCTTATGCCAGAACCTGTTTCGAGCCCTACAGTAGCCTGAAACTCAGGCAGTGAGATGGTGATTCCTTTGCCTTTCTTTTTCCTCTACTATAGCTGGTTCACTAGATTCTTTGCTGTGTCGTCGTCCCTCCCTTTTATAAGCCAAAAGCAGAGCCTGCTTTGGCTTCAGCTCAAGAGATGACGCTAATTTTGCTGTTAAATGTAATTTGGGGGAGATCCATATATTTCTGTTATGTCTAATCTGCTGTTTTTTCAGTGTACATAGTACTGTGTTTAAAAAGTGGCTAGCACATTTTGGGTGCCATTTTGGGTGGTCTACGTGATAAAGAGTGTAAATTATGTGTCTCTAAGGGTGTGTCTACACAGCACCCTAAACTCGAAATATGATATGCCATTGGCACTTTGCAACTTGCGTATCTTATTTCAAAACTATATAGAAAAAGCTTATTTTGAAATTTGGCATGTCTGCACAGCACCAAATTTCAAAATAATGTACTATTTTGAGCCATTCCTTACCCTCATGCAAGGAGGTATACCAGAATGGCGAAACAGTGCGCCCATTACTTCGAAAAATATTTCAAAATAACAGGCGGCTTGTGTTGACGCAGGGTAGCTATTTTGGGATATCTCCGGTATCCTGAAATAGCCGTGCAGTGTAGACATATCCTAAAAGAGTAGAATTGTACATACAGGTTGAACCTCTCTAGTTGGATACTCTCAGGTCCAGCAACTTCTGTGGTCCAGCATGATTTTAATTAGCCAGATGTCCACTTATCATGGGTGTGGCCAAGTTTCCCTCGGTATCATAAAGTTTGTTTATAGCTACCAGTCCTGGCTCTCATGTTCTGTTCTGAGCTGTTATTTAGCTTTAATTTACTCCTAACTGTCTTTTAGGAGCCCAGAAAGCAGTGGAAGTGTTGGTAATGCTGCTAGACAATATTGACCTCCTCTGGTCTGGCAAATTCTCTGATTTGGCACTGGTCAGGTCCTGAGAGTGCTGCACTAGAGAGGTTCATCCTGTAATCTAGTGGTGATTTTTTTTTTTAAAAGGAGCTTTCTGTCTTTCCTTTTTTTTTCTCCTTTTTGATCAGCTCATCTGTCAGTTCCAGTGTGTGCTGGTAGAATTGCATGATTAAAATAGCTGTGTGTCTGTAAGCAATGTATACAAGAGGAATCGTGATCTAGTGACTGGAGCACAGAACTACAGCCGTAACTATAAAATGGGAAGATCTCTACCTCTCTCTTAAGGATGCTGTGTATTTGAAGCTGGAAGATCTTAAAATTAACATTTCTGATCCTTTTAAGTTTATGTAGGGCCTCACAAAGCGTTGGACAATAAAAAAGAGAAAAGCTTAGGGCACAACAAAACCAAAACTGTACATAAAAATATAACATCAATCAGTTTTTAAAACTCCAGTTAAATGGAGGTTAGTTCCTTACTGCGAATGACAGCATGTTCCAGGCACAAAGATCACAAGAGCTTTCTTTAAAAGCTAACACAGACTCAGGATTTATTTGTATGGTTGTAGTGCCATAGAGCCCTTATCCTGGGCCAGAGACCCCTTGTGCTAGGTGCTGTACAAACATGGAACAAAGATGGCCCCTGTCCCAATGACCTTATAATCTAAGTATAAGAAGAAAAGAGACAACCAATGGGTATGGTGTGAGCGTGCTAGGCTGGGTTCTCAGCACATTAGTTGCCTCATCTGTAATTTTATCTCATGAACCAGTCTCAAGCAGTTTGGAAGAGCTTGCCCCACTAAAATTTTGAATGAGGCTCATTAACTACAATTTCCCTCTCTGTAATATTTTTGTGTTTATTGTTCTATACCAAAAGAACAATTTGGCGCCTGATGTAATAGAGCTTCTCACATGAGTAAGAATATTCACATGCTTAAATATTTATAGGCCTGGCTTTTAAGAGAATGTGGTAATGTTCTTGCCTATGCTGTGATTATTCTGGGGCATGTGGTGTACTTCCTATGCCTTACTTTTAGTTCTGTGCTAATGCTTTAGTAATTCTGAGGCTGAGCATTTGAAAACAGTGCAGCACTTGGTAGCATTTTAAAAGTTGAAACAGTCATATGGAATGAAAGGGACATGAAATACAAGATCCTAAGTCACCCAAGACCTTAAGCATGTGAGTAGTCCTTACTGAAGCTTGTAAAACATTTTAAAGGTAAGTGCATACTTTGGTAAGTCTGAGTCTAAGGCTTTTTCCTTGCAGTTTTTCTGCTGATGAGGCATCCATTCTAATGTGATGAGGAATATACTGTAATGAGCAAACCTGCATTGCAGAGGGCATGACTAGATAAATCTCTTATATATAAAATGCAATACAACTCTGTCCAAGATACTAGATACATAGTTGGGTAGCTACCCTGCTATTTGTAGCACACATGCATCTACCTAAGCTGCAAATTACACCTCTCAGCTGGAATGTCTTTCAGAATTTTCAATCAGTTTATACTGATTTCTAATCTTAATTATATTTTTCAGGAACAGAGGTGTCCTACACTCATTTTCTGGGACAGAGACCAACAAAATCTGGCCTTATGTTTACTCTTTGGTTTCCAGCAAGATCCGGCCTGTCCATTCCAAAGAAGCAAATTAACCGTCTCATGCAATAGACCGAGAATTTAATATGGTGGTTTATTTGGTTTCTCTGTGCCATTTTGGTGCTATGTCCAATTAGAGGATAGTACAATATCTAGAACAACTTCCTTGCATTTACTGGAGTTCACAGTTTTAGAAATGCAATTACAGCCACTGTTGGGGGAAAGAGGGAAATAACTCTTTCTATAAAAGGTGAAGTCTGCTGGAATAAGAAATTTTAGTTTTCATGGTGTAAAGTATTGCTAATATGGTCTGGGTACCCCAGCAGACCTAGATATCAGGTCTTTCTAATCTTCCATGGTCCCTTCCCACCTCGCCCCAAATCCATGTACCATGTGCAAGGTGCTGCTGTTCCTTGCTCCACATCACCCTTTTCCTAGAGATAACTCAACATGGCAACTTTTTAAATTTTCTCTGAGAAATAAAAACCCTAAGTGTGGACTTTAACCCCATAGGGAATCAGTGAGTAATGTGGAAAATATTTACACTGCCAAGTTCAAATGTGAATACAACATTTCCAGTATTAATAAACATAGAAGAAAAAGAAATCCTCGGGGTTAAATATATACTTGTGCTATCCTCCAAAAAAATGCTGCTATATTATCTAGTTTTCACCAAGTGTTATGATATATGCCAACCAGGTAATGGAGTAGGCTTTGGTTTGTCTATGAGAAATGAGTTGCACTATTTGTGATTCGGTTGTTTATAGCTTTAATACTACAAGATATAGGCATAGTATATTAGTTTGTCCCAAAGATTTATTCTAATGTCTCTCTTTGGTAATTTTCTCTGAAAAAAAAATGAGTTCATTGTATATCTTTTGCTGTCATTATAACTGAGGTACTTTCTTCTCTCAGTGTAAAAGGCCATTCTAGGGGAAATACCCTTGGCAGGAGATAACTTTTTTCACATATGATGGAACATGTTAGGGTTTGGTCCTTCAGGTCTTATTCAGACACAACTCTCCTTGAAATCTGTGAGCATTATACAACCAGTTGGTTGTATTTAAGCACTTCCTTTGTGAATCAAAAGCAAACTCTTTGTTTATTTCTTGTACGTTCCTTGATAGGCAAAACTGACTCTGTTACTTTATATATGCAGTGTTGTTGTAGCTGAGTTGGTCTCAGGTGATTAGAGAAACAAGGGGGTGAGGCTATATCTTTTATTGAAAGTTGGTCCAGTAAAAGATATTGTCTCATCCGCCACCTTATCTCTGTTACTTTATACTCAGTCTAGTCTTATGTGTGAGGCTATGTATAGATAAGCATGCAGCTAATCTAAAAACACTGCCCAATTTCTTGCCAGAAACCTTTCCAAGCACTGAATAAAAATACTGCATTTTTCTAGAGGTGTCTCAAAGTTTATATAGGCTTTTTTTCTTTGTTCAGATTTTTAGTTTCTGGTTACAGTTTATGAAATGGGAAAGCTTTACTGTGGTGCTTGTGTTTTTTGTTTTGTTTTTGTCCTCTGTTAACATTAATTTCCAGTTACAACTGCAGTGGCCTGAACACTTTGAACTACTAGTGATTCTTTTTTTTAAAACTTGCGGGGGGAAATGTAAGTACCTAGATTGACAACATTACATGTAAATGAATCATTGTGAAGAAACACCTTCAGGATGTATGAGCTTTTTTCCTCAGTTTTCTTTGTTCCTGTTTTCATGTGTTGAGTCACAAAGGTAGGTACAGTGGTGGTTTTTCTAAACTGGAATTACTGTAGATTTGTTTGACTTGATCTTTTATACAGGCAGTCCCCGGGTTACGTACAAGATAAGGACTGTAGGTTTGTTCTTAAGTTGAATCTGTATGTAAGTCAGAACTGGCGGGCAGTTTCAGCAGCGGCTGAATCTGGACTCCAGTTCCAACTTACATACAGATTCAACTTAAGACCCCCAAGCGTCCCCAAGTCAGCCGCTGCTGAAACTGACCAGCAGCGGCTGAATCTGGACTCCAGTTCCAACTTACATACAGATTCAACTTAAGACCCCCAAGCGTCCCCAAGTCAGCCGCTGCTGAAACTGACCAGCAGCGGCTGAATCTGGACTCCAGTTCCAACTTACATACAGATTCAACTTAAGACCCCCAAGCGTCCCCAAGTCAGCCGCTGCTGAAACTGACCAGCAGCGGCTGAATCTGGACTCCAGTTCCAACTTACATACAGATTCAACTTAAGACCCCCAAGCGTCCCCAAGTCAGCCGCTGCTGAAACTGACCAGCAGCGGCTGAATCTGGACTCCAGTTCCAACTTACATACAGATTCAACTTAAGACCCCCAAGCGTCCCCAAGTCAGCCGCTGCTGAAACTGACCAGCAGCGGCTGAATCTGGACTCCAGTTCCAACTTACATACAGATTCAACTTAAGACCCCCAAGCGTCCCCAAGTCAGCCGCTGCTGAAACTGACCAGCAGCGGCTGAATCTGGACTCCAGTTCCAACTTACATACAGATTCAACTTAAGACCCCCAAGCGTCCCCAAGTCAGCCGCTGCTGAAACTGACCAGCAGCGGCTGAATCTGGACTCCAGTTCCAACTTACATACAGATTCAACTTAAGACCCCCAAGCGTCCCCAAGTCAGCCGCTGCTGAAACTGACCAGCAGCGGCTGAATCTGGACTCCAGTTCCAACTTACATACAGATTCAACTTAAGAACAAACCTACAGTCCTTATCTTGTACGTAACCCGGGGACTGCCTGTACTTACACTACCTAAATAACCAGGGGGTGTAATTGACCTCAGAAGGCCATATCTCCTCAAGTTGCCTTATTTTATAAGCTATTTAAGAAAAATCAAGATGTGCATTTTTGAGAAATAAGCTGAATTTTACAGATTAGCCTTTTGAGAACTCTTCACCAAACTGCTTCAGTCACATACCTTGCTACAGTCCATTTTACTATCAGTAACCAATTAGAAGAGCTACCTCCATATTACAGTAGACAACTTGTTTAATTACAACAGTTAACAAGCAGGGCAAGCATGTGCCTCTGAAATGTCACAGTTCCTTCTTTTTACTCTGGAAAATACACTTCTAAGGGCAGTATTCCTTGTATACGGGGTGGTCACCCAGAAGAGAGTCAAGTGCTGCCCATCTGCTTAGCAGAGTGTCCACTGCTGGCAGCATGTGTTTGTACTGGTGGTGCACATCTGCACACTCCTCAGTGCACATGACAAAATTTATTCCACACAAGGATAGGGAGAAAAAAAAAGAAGAGAGGGAACACTTCTGAAGAGTGGCTAGATGTCTGTAGTGGGAGGATTCTTAGATGGAAGTCACTTTGTTTTTCTGAGGCCTGGGGAGATTTGTTTGAATAGAATGGGTTTATTTTGGCGTTGAAAGAATTGTAATCCTACATTAATGCTTTTCCCAGTCAGAAGGATGCTAATGTTTGTCTTGGCATCCTTTTATGATGGGAAAACAGTGTGTCATAGGTATGTTTACAGCTTCCTTTTCATACCACTCACATTAAATCTGGTGCACAAGGTTTTCACCAGCCTTATTCTGCATTCCATTTTCTTCCCCATAAATCGTGACCCCTTCCTGCTCCTGGCAATAGAAGGCACACTCTGGCAGTCCCAGATTTTTGCAGCCAGTCAGCCATTGTCATCACTAGGCTGTCAGGCTGGCATCCTGTGGCCATTTGGGTGATAGCCATGATGAGACTGAGCAGTACTGCACACTACAGTCTCTCACCAAGGACTGTAACTGTTGTGTTTGCCATAGTATAACTATGATGTTGGATCTTCTTTTTTATTATAGAATCACTGTGAAATGTGGTGAAGCAAGTGCCTTCCTAGCCAGAATACATGGCTTTGGCCTGGGACCAAACAACTTTCTAAATGCCATTATTGCCCCTTTCTAAGTGAGACAAAGCAGAACTGGCATTTGCACTGCTGTGGCATGAAGGTTGAGTGAAAAACCCCAGTGGCCTGACTTGGTCTCTCCATTCATGCATGGGGCAGGGTTTTGAGGTACTTGGAGGGAACAACCTAGAGGATATGAAGAGATGCGTGCAACACTTTTTGGGAAACCCATGTTATCTGCAATCCGTAGGGTTTTGGAGGCAGGGCCAATGTTGCGAGATGTAATTTGGCAGATCCATAACTAGTGCCATGCTACAAGGCATGGTACTTAGCTGCCTATCCATTCTCCCCCTCACTCCCTAGTTGCCTTCCACTGAAAGTAATGATATAGAGGGGCACTGAGGTGTCCTTTCCACTGACTCAAATGGAGCAGAATCAAATTCCACAAGGTTCTGTCATGGTGTGTGAGGAGAGGGAGCAGCCAGAGAGCATGTGGGAGATCTGTGATAACTGTATGCAGATGAGGACTACTGGAAGGCATCTACCATCCACCTAGTTAAAACATACTAGCAGGCCTATACCCTACACAAAATAAATAGTTCAAATGAGTAATATATTTCAGCACTGAAAGGGGTTATTTTCCTGAATCCTCATTCATTACTGTGAAACCTCTGCTTTCACAAAATGGTTAGGTAAAGGATATTGAAAGTATTTTAAAATATGAAATTGACGACAGTGAAAGTTTGCTTGTGTGCACATCTCTGACCTTTACTGCTGATGTGCTCCACTCATTGCACAGGACAGACCACTGCTGGATTTTGAGCCATCTTAGGAATTGTGTACACTGTCGTGGCCATGTTTTGTTGCCATGAGTGTCCATTCTGTGGGGTGAGGACAACCAGAAGGTGTCAAGGCAGGTGTATTCCCATATGCTACTGAGAAGTGTGATGGAGGGAAGGCCAAGTCTTTGAGATGTTTGGATGGAGCCCTTGAAAAGCGACTGCCAGAGGGGGTGGAGAAGAGGACCAATGTGACGACTGACTAAACATTTCTAATATCTAAAATATATGTGGCTAAACTTATCAGAGTTACTAAACTAATGCAACTGTGGAGTAGGCAGAAAACACCTACCGGTCAAAAAATAGATGCGTGGGAAGGGATGTATTTGCGAACATATTCTGTTTGCCAATAGGTGTTAAATGCGTGTTGGAAATGCTGTGTAATCTCCTCCAAAGCATTCAAATTCCTGGGTCTCCTTTCCCTGCTTTTACGGTCCTGCCCTCCAGTGCTGTTCAGGGGGATATATTTGAACACTGTCATTTGGAGCTTTCCTCCGTGTTAGTTATTTTATTTGTTTTTTGTTTCTGTTCACTCTCTGTATTGAACGTTTTAAAGATTTTACAAGCCTTCCTTGAGACTATGCTCCTTCAGTTTATCAAAACCTACTAACCTGCAAGTGCTGCTGCTTCCATTGTTTTCCAGGGTATTTGTATTTCATAAGATCAGAGATTGTGTTGGGCACTCCATCCTGCATCTTTCCCCTGAGGGAAATTGTGCAAGACAAATGGCTTAGAGCATCACTTAGAATGGCTCTAGCATATCATAGATGTATGCACCTTTGAAATGTAGATAGAACACCTTTTGCTTTACTCTGCCTCGCTCTTGGTCCATTAGTAGTCTTAGCCTTCTTTTTTACACGCGTATATAATGTTTCATATAGTGCTTTACAAACATTAATTAGTCCTCCAGCAGTGCATACTGCCCCTATTTTGCGGAGGTAGGTGGCTTGCCTGAGATCGCTTGTCAGCTAGGAATGTGGGGCTTGTAATTCTGTTCTGAGTGCCCTGGACTACGTTTGGGTAACTTTCTGCTGAAGAAGTTACAAAATTACCTGTTGAAGGCATGTTCATGCCCTGTTCCCATGCAGTACCTACACACTCCATTCTTGATTGCCTTTTTTTTTTCAATTGTTTTTAGTTACAGTATCTAGAGGATGATTGTTGCATGTCCAGGTTGTTTTGAATGAAAGAATTCTGAACATTGATCAGGACTATGTAGCACTTTAAAGACTAACAAAGATGGTTTAAAGTGCTACATAGTCCTGTTTTTTGTTTCAGCTACACCAGACTAATACGGCTACATTTCTATCACTATTGAACATTGATGTTCTTCGATTTTAAATTCACTAATACTGTCACTAACACTGGCACTTTTAAAATCTAGATTGGATGTTTTTCTTCAAGATATAGTCTAGGAATTATTTGAATGAAATTCTATGGCTATATTATACAAGAGGTCAGACTAAATAATCACGATCCAGGTCTCTTCTGTCCTTGGAATCTGTGAATCTATCTATGAAAATAGCAATCACTATTCTTTGTGACATTTACAAACATTTTTACTGTCCTTTTTTTTTAAGAGTTGTAAAATTCTTTGCATCAATTTGAGACCTGACCATCATGGGAATAATAGTATATTTATGTATCATATCAGGGCATTGATGAATTGACATAAAGCACTGTAGAAGTATGAAGTAGTGTTTTTTTTAAAGAGTTGGTGCGCACAGTATGTGCATTCCTCAGGGTTTGTTATAGGGTTGCCAGGTGTCTGGTTTTGAAATGGACAGTCCAGTATTTGAGCTTTCTGTTTGGGAAACAAATTGAGAAAATATAAATGAGGAAATATAAATGTCTGGTATTTTCTAAATAAGATGTAATCTAGATTGTGATGTACTGTCAAGTGTGTCCGATATTTTTGTTGAAACCATCTGGCAACCCTAGTTTGTTGTTGATGCTGTAGGTTGGAGTGGTTGTGGTAGAGGTCAGCAATATATTAACATTAATACACTACACATGGCAGCACTGTCATTTCAGCACTAGGTTTTTCATTTTGAGTTTGTAAGATGACTTTCACATCTATTCTTTAGTGTAAAGCAGAGTCCAGGAAACCCTGAATTTGGGTAGGAACACCAAAATTCATTTAAACTGGATACAACCTGGCAATCTGTGTTTCAACCAACCCTCTCATCCCAGAGTCCAGCTCTGTCTGTTTAGCTGTCTTTGGTGTGGGCAAAGGGGTGGAGTGTTTGGAATATACAGGTAAAAGGATGGAATGGATGTGCATGTATTTACCTTAGAACAGCTATGGGAGGGCTTTTTGTGGTTTTAGGCCCCAAATAGATCCACTTTTTAAAGGAGGGGAATAGGTCTAGTTTTAAGGTATGTACTAATTAACTATTGCTTGTACCCTGTCGTTAAAGAATGGATCCAGTCATTGAGAGATGAACATCTTCAGTTTGAGTTACATACCATCTCACAGTGCTTGGGTCATACAAGCTAAGTCTTTCAGTTCTTAGCATGTCCACACACTGAAAATCAGTTGTTTTATTTCACCTTTCTCCTGCATCCTGTCAGAACACAGTTCCCTGACTTTGGTACTTTACTGTGAATCTCATGCTTTATTTTTTGTTCTGTTTTGTTTTGTTTTGAATAAAGTGGTGGCAGTTCTGTAATAAACCAAAGTGGGGGCTGGGAGGAGGAGGTTCCCTCTGTTTGTCTTTTCACCTATGGAGCCATTTGGTATTTGTATGGTTGCTGATGGCTGTAAATGTAGCAGCGAGTTTCTTCTGGGATGGTCTCGTCCTTGGAGAATCCTATAGCTGTTTTGCTGTTTAATATATGTAAATAAAAATTTCCCCCCCTTTTACCTGTTTTATGTGGTGTTTATATTGTGGCAAGTACTGGCACTAAGATCACACTCTTTGGTGAGCAACAGCAGTGTATTTGCTCCTGTGTTTGCAGGAGATACTCCCTGCCTCTAGGATCTTGTAATATGTGTCCTCTTTCCTACAAACTTCTCTACATGGGCACTTTTGGTTTTTAATTTTCTCCTGGGATTTAAAAGTCTGTAGTGAGTCATCATGGCTGCCCACTGACCCAAAAGGAGAAGCCCTCCATAAGACCCCCTTGGTGGGTGGGGCCAGAGCCAACAGCCCCTCCCACAGGAAGCAGAAGGGAAGAGCTAGAACTATAAGAGCTGGCCTTGAGAGCTCAGTAAGAACCCAGAGGGCAAGGGATGACTGGCTAGGGCCCCCAGGACTGTCCGACCCAGGAGACAGGCCAACATCACTCCGAACCCCGCCAGGCACCAAGGAAGGACTGAGGGGACCAGAGTCTGTGCCAGGTCCCAGAGCTGCGGTTGTTTTGCCAGGACCAGGGAGGGACCCAGAGCCTATGGATACCATCCCAGCGCTGGCGCTCCCAGAAGACCCCGAGAAGCAGCAGTCATGCCAGGATGGTCCACACAGGGAATTAGGAAATGTCCCAGGGAAAGCCGACTCTGCACCAGCTAATGAGATGGAGGTCGAGTGGGCAACACGTTGCTGCCTGGATTCCTTCCAACCAAGTGGCTGCCCATGCTGCCACTGCTAGGGCCCTGGACTGGGACTCAGTAGAGTGGGCAGGCCTGCGTCCCCCCGCCACCTCTCCACTTGGGGTGGCAAGTTCCCCCTGTAGGGGAAAAACCCTTGCGCTTGTTGGCTCTCTGCCAAAGCTGGGAGAGCTGACCCCCAACTCAGCCTGCAGACAGGCCTGAGCCTCAAACTGTTATAGACGTCTTAGTTTGTTTGCTGCCTTTCCCTGACCCAGGGCCATCGCAATTGAACCATAGTCTTGTTTGTTTGCTGCCCGCCCTGACCCAGGACCAACGCTGCTGAACTGTATAACCACCTTGCTGTTTGACACCCGTCCTGACCCAGGAACAAGAAATTCCTATTATGCCCAGCCTGTGTTGTAAGTCAGCATAGCCGTCCGCTTACCCAGAATGGTACAGGATCTTCGCTTAGCAACAGCCCAAACAGAAAGTCAGTTTGGAGATAGAAACACCTGGATCAGTGCTGAGATGTATTTATTCCTTTGGCAGAATGGTTTTACAGGGGCCACTTTGGGAAGATAACACTGTCAGGAAGAACTTGCTTTTTGAGTAACTGTTTCCTCTGACCCTCTAATAGTAATACATCTCTCTGCTCCTGGGGTTATTGTGTCTCTGGTTGCTTCATTGTTTCTCCCAATGAAGGCATTGCTTATAGTGTAATGTTCACAAATGCAAATGAATCACATGACGGAGCTTTTTCATGCAATTGCCCAGAAATCCAGGTACATCTGTGTATCTCTCTCCAGGATGTAAGGGCTGCTGAAAGAATAACAAAACTGATTATCCTTCATTTATCTTGAACACGTCTCTCTCTACATGCATGTGAAAGTTTGGGCTGGGCACCCTCGTGCCTGAGTCCCTATCAAGACCAGTTTTAAAACTTTTCAAGCAGGAGTCTTCATTCATCGAGGACAGAAGAAATTTTCCCAGTGTGTATTAGTAAAAAGCCTAGCCACTTCTCCCTAGGGCTCCCTGTCTCTGCCTTGTGACTTTCCACACCTAATTAGGGGATCAGCTGTCTGTGTGGTACTCCACAGCGGTGTCTTTCTGCTGTCCCTTGAACATTTAGTGGGTCATTTTTAATGCAAGAGGTATTTGATGTACTTGTGACTGCAAGAATCCTGGAGCCAGCTAAATTCTTCCATTGGCAAGGCCTGGTTCCTATTTGAATCCCACTGGATGAGCTTTGTGGCTTTTGTGGGAGTCAATGGGCAGTAGTTCCGTCACTCCATGAGCAAGAGACACTGTCATGAATATCACACAGCCATCATTGCAACCATTCAGTAAGGGGGAGGGATAGCTCAGTGGTTTGAGCATTGGCCTGCTAAACTGAGGGTTGTGAGTTCAATCCTTGAGGAGGCCATTTAGGGATGGGAGCAAAAATTTGTCAGGGATGGTACTTGGTCCTGCTGTGCAGGGGACTGGACTCACTGGCTTTTCAAGGTCCCTTCCAGTATCTAGGAGATAGGCAATCTCCATTAATTTAGGTTCAATGCACTAGGAAGAACAATGGTTAAAGAGACATGAACCAGAAGCAGTTACTCTTGTGGGACAAATAGGTGTCTGTCTTTCTAATCCAAAGCTGATTCAGCACGCTGGAAAGGCCTGTTTTAGATTAAAAACAGATCTGGACTTTCAGTGAGACTGTAATGAAATATGAATTTGAGTCAGTTCTGATGTCCTCTTGCTACGTTTCAGAGCTCTCCCTTATATCATAAGCCAAAAAGCATGGTAAGGTTTTCGTTGCCCAATGTAACAGTTTATTTCTCCACAAAGACGAGGTTACACTGTAGTGATGGATGAGCCAAATACAGGGTAATATGGAATTAAAACAAAATGTTCTAGGAGTGGGAAGCAACATTTAATAAGATGATTGTATTTGTCCTAAAGAAAATACCAAAGGGAAGAACAAGCCTTTCTGCTCAGCTGGTAAATATAACAGTGTGTGCACATGAGCTTAGACATCTTGTTCCTAAATATAAGTTGGCCCAACTGCACTTATAAACCATTACCTGGTTACAGGCACTTTATCATAAGAATACATTTTGCGTTTACATCTAGTACCTTGTATCCAAGAATCTGAAAACATTGCACAAACAGTGAATTAAATTGTTCCATTCCTGTGAAGGGAGAGGGCATTCTTATTGCCATTTTACTAGACAATGGAGATGCATACTTGAAAGTGACTTATCCCAGGCCCCAGAGTCATTAGTGGTAGGGAAGTGAATTGAAATCCTATTTCCTAGTTGTAGGTTCTCTCCACTAGACCATAAAACTTACCAGTCAAGATATCGTTTGTGGTAACTATCCACATAACTCCCTTTTAGACTAGGAAGCCTTTTGACATGAAGTGTTTTTGGCTCCTGTTTATTAAAACTCTTGCTGTGTGCATGAGTGGGGCAATTGTTTCATGGTGGGAGACAATTCCAGGCAATTGGTTTATAGGCATCTTCCATTCTCCCAGTACCTCCAGCTGGTAGCAGTGGGCTAAATTCTAGCTCTACTATACTTTTCACATTCCTTACTAGAAAGTTACTGATGTTACCAATATTACCATAAATGATTAGTACCTATTTTTCAGATAATCTAGGGCGGAGAGATGCTCTTTCCATCACTTACTGGTGGAGGTCTTAACTCCTTGTACATTTGGTAACCTACCATCAGGATGTCTGCCATGGTGCTTTTCTAGCACATTAGTTTCTGTTGTGAGATGCTGCAGATCCAATAGACTGAACCTGATTTTTCCCTGCCACTTGTGTCAATTACAGGGTAATAATTGACCCAGCTGTAAATGACATAAGGTTCACGGCAATGCAGAATCAAGCCCACTATGAGAAAATGATCTTGAATGTGACTTTGCCAGATGATACGCTATGAATACCCCAAATGAGTGTTGTCAGCAACACTCGTCAGTCTTGAACTGGTGGAAGAATCTCCAACACGTGTTAGCGTTTGGTCTTTTTTTTAGCCAATAATTTAAAGACGACTTCTTTCCAAAACTAGAAACTCTCAAGGGCTGGTATGGTGGGCTAAGAATGGCTATGCCAGGCACTACCTAACAGACTAGATCACTTTTCTTTAGTGCATGAAAGGGATCTAGGACTTTGTTGATAACATTCTAGGGGGCTGGTTATTTTTCTGTTAGTGAGCAAGAGCATGCTTGGTTTTATGGATTGTTTTAAAAATAGGGTTAGTAATGTGAGGCAGTGTATTGAGTTTAAAAAGTCTGTTCAAAAGAATACAGTTACATCATGTCTACTTTTTTGCTTGTTTGTGAATGGCCATCTCCCTGCAGGAACAAACACTCACCATACACTCTCTTCCTCCTTCAGCAGGGCTGGCTGTGCTCAAGCAGTTCTCACTGGTGGGGTCATTCAATTCCAAGCCTAAATAGAGCAAGTTACATTTTTGCCTTATTAAAGTCTGTTCACCCCTTCCCCCAGTTCCTACCATGTTACCTCCCATTTAATGTTTAAAACACACCATTGGTCATAGGGTTCTTTTGTGGCCAGCTGGCATTATGGCAGAGCATTTCACCAGTGGCCTGATTTTCAGAAGTGCTGAGCTCCCCCGTTCCTCATTGAAATCAATGGGACTTGCTGGTGCCCAGAACCTCTGAAATTCATCTGTGTGACCTTAATTTCAGGAGCAACAGCCTGATATTCCAATATGCATCTGTTCCTTTCCTGGTACTTTCCTCTCTTACTCACCAAGGTTGTTTAAAGTAGTATCTTTTGTACTCTCAGCAGAACAAGATTTGGAGTGTCCTTGCTGTTTGTGGAATACTGTAATTCAGCTCTGTTCCCCTGCGAATTCCATAGGTACAATCAAGCTGCATGAAATGCAAATATTTAGTAATTTAGCTTCACTGCTTGTATTCTACTTAGTTTATTTTTCCTTTTGGCTATGATGGTTCTCAGGCCTTTGGGCCCCTCTAAAAGCCCATCTTGGATTTGGGGAAACTGGCCATGTAGAGGAGAGTCTAGTTACAGACAATATTTCTGGCCCGTTTTCCTTTGCACATGTAGAGACACAAACTGAAAGAAAATATCACTTTCATTTTGGCAGCTAAGATCTGGAAGGCATCTGATCACCGGTGTGTTGAGAGGAGGGATAAATACACTAAAGATGGTGAGCTGCTCAGATACAATGGTGATATGGGCCAGATAAACACCTTTAAAGATATGTAAAACTTTCACTGGAACTGGTTTGAAACGTGCTTAGAAGAAACAACACATTCCTCCTAAACCTGCTGGGAACATAGTTGCACTGTATAAGGATTATGGGGGTGAATAGTAATCAAATTATACTAATAATTAGTGAGGGCATTTATAGATCCACACAACATGGGTCATGCTTCAAGTCCACTACAATATATTCTCTTTACCCTATAATAGTTTTCTGATTTTTTTTTTTTTAGGCAATAAGGGATAGAATTGATTGCCACAAGCGTCGTCCCAAGGAGAATGACAATCATTTGCTGATTATCATGCATTCTGATTTCAATGTTCTCTACAAAGAACATCTTTTGGATGCAGTTTTACCTATGTGCCCCTTTATCAATGAATTTTTCCAAAGGATTTAGATTTTTTTTTTAAATGAAACTTGATTCAGATCTGAATTAAGGGGAAATCCTTTGACTCCAGATCCTACTCCATGCCACATTTTAGAAAATGTGTTATGTCTGCTCACATCCCCATCCTTCTCTGATTCTGTATAATTCTAACTATAACCCATACCATACACAGTTGCATACAATTATCACACATCAGTTCCCCGGCTTGATGGACATAGCTTGCATGACCTATGACTGGCTGTGAATGACAAATCAAAAGTCAGCATTT